GAAGAAGAAGAGCAAGAAGAAGAAGAGAAGAAGAAGAAGAAGAAGAGGACGAGGAAGAGGGAGAAGAATAAGAAGAAGAAAAAGAAGAAGAAGAAGACAAAGAAGAAGAAGAAGAAGAAGAGGAAGAAGAAGAAGAAGAAGAAGAAGAAGAAGAAGAAGAAGAAGAGGAAAAACAAACGAGCTACGGCATCGTGTTTCAAAAGCTGAGAAAGTAAAATCCGCGATCTGTAAAACGAGCGTAATCGTGACGAGCCGATAAGAGCGTCTTCTCTCCCGCAGACAATGGGAGCGTCGACCTTCTGCGCATCCTTCCGTAAGGGCCAAATTCGCCTGTCACGCCAGCCAGCCACATCAAGAGGCAAAAGCTCCCTGTTGTTGTTGCTGCAATCGCCGGGGGGAGAGGGGGGGTGGAGGCACTCGGGTGTAAATAATGGTAAACAAAGGGATCATACGAATCCCCCTCTAACCCCCCCCCAACTCTTTCGACCCCCCCCCTCCTCCTCTCACTCTCTTCCTCATCCGATTTGGAAAATCCCCTTCCGACTCCCACCCCCCTTTTTTTCCTCCCCTACCCCTTTCCCTAACCCCTCCTCCCCCCACTCAAATAACACCCCCCCATCTCCTCTTCCCCATCCCCCCACCCCCACTCTCTCCCTCCCCCTCCCTCCTAATTCCCAAACCCTGATCCCTCACTTCCCATCCCCGCCCCCCTCCCTTTCACCCTTTCCCCCCCTTCCCCCCTCCCCCCCCTCCCCCCCCTTCTAATTATCACCTCTATTAATCCACATTCAAACGCTCAGGAATTCTTAGGTCCGTTACGCCTTCGTTATTCTTCTAATTACACGGAGGATTGTTTCTTCTAAGACGTTCGTGACAGAGGGGGGTGGGGGGAGGTTCAGGAGGTGGATGTGGGGGGGGGAGGTAGAGGGAGGTGGAGGTGGAGGTGGGGGGGGAGGAAGAGGAGGTGGAGGTGGAGGGGGGAGGAAGAGGAGGGGAAGTGGATGGGGAGGAAGAGGAGGGAAGGAGAGGAGGGGAATGGAGGGAGGGAAGAAAAGCAAAGGAGGGAAGAGGGAGGAAAGAAGAAGATGAAGGGGGGCGGGAGGAAGGGAGAAGGAAATTCTTCTTCCTCCTCCTTTCCATTTTCCCTCCCCCTCCCCCTCCCCCCTCCCCCCTCTCCTTCGCGTCCTTGAGATGCACAAAACAAATAACGACAAGAGAAGCGGCCAATTTTCCGTCTAAATTCAGACTTATTATCTTTAATTGAAGGCCGCGATTTCTTCTTCATTTCTTATTCACCTTCTCCTTCCCTTCCTTCGCGGAAGAGAGAGCGAAAGAGACAAAAAAGAAAGAAAAAAAACGAAGAGAGTGAGGGACAATTAAGTGTTTGAAAAGTCTAGATCAGACCGCCATCTTGCACACTCTTCTTTCCCCCTTCCCCCCCACCCCCACCTTCTCCCCCCACCCCCATACCCTTCCCCCAACACCCCCAACGAACAAGAAACTCCAACTTCTTGTTTGTCGAAGCCTTGGTCAACAAATTTCTTACAAGTGCTCGAACTCCACTTGAGCGATACTCGAGCCGGGAGATCGTTCCGGGCGAGGGAGAATCTGAACTTCTTCAAGGAGAATCCGAACTCCTTAAAGGATTTGGGTTTGGGATCGGATGACTTACATGCGCGGTTCTTTTGTTAGTTTCTCAAGTTTCTCAAGGGTGGCGCACGACGGCGAGTTAACATCTCGCTGCTTTTTGTTACTTATAGTTTTAACGGAGGATAAATGCAGAAAATTAAGCATAAACATGTGGAAATGAAATGTAATACAGTTATAATATAAAAAATTCCGTTGCACAATACTACAAAAAGGATAATAAATCTAGCTAAAAGAAGAATTGGAAGAAAGCGATATAAATCTATTCACAACACAAATGAAAGTCCGATAGACAAATTGCAATCCTTAACCTATATAGGTTTATCACTTATACACTGGTATAAAAAACGATATGGTCAGTAATAACACTGTATCACTGTACAAGAGTCAATAGCTTTATCAATCTTTTATAACTATATATAATCTCACAGTTACTCGTATCACTGTATACTATTCGTAATAAAAGGGTCATAAAACGCTACAAAGAAACTTCTCCGTTTGAGCGCAAGGGAATCAAACTTAATGAAATAACACCGGCATTCCATTAAAATATAGTTCTTTTTCTTTATATATATCTCTCTGTCTATGTATACATATGTACATATATATATTTTCCTTATAAAAACGCTTCACCAGCACAGTCTTAACGCGGCGAGATACTGGCACTTGAGGGGCAGACCAAGGGGGGGGGGCGTCCTCCTCAAGCCCGGCAGGAGAGATCGACAGGCGACGTGGAGGTTCCCTGCGTCTGCCCGGGGCTCAGGGACGCCGTGGTCACCTTCATGCTGTAGGACACGACCTGGCTGTCCGCGGGCGAGGTCGCTTTGGTCTCGGGGTCTTGGCTCGCGGGCGT